CTCAGGTCCTCAGCTCCTGCCGCAGGGACCCCACCCGCCTCTGGCTTCTCCTTGTGGGACTGTGACTCTCGCTCACACCCACGTCTTCACACCCCCACAGCACTGCCTTCACTCCCCTGTGCAAATCCCCCAAAGGCTGTCCAGTGAGAACCACGGAAGGGCAGGATCCCACATCTGGCATCCGAGGCTTCCAGAAATGGCTTCACATTGCCCCACTGCCTGCAAGTACACCGTACAAGACTCCCAAGCCTCCTCAAACTCGCCCTTTGTTTTCCTAACTTTATGCTTCTGCTCAGCCCAGTGTCCACACAAAACGCCCTCTGCTCCTCATCGGGCTACTGAAATCCAAACCCGTCCTCCAGGACCTAACTCAGATGTCACCTCCGGTCTGAAGCTGTCCTTGCTCCTCTCAACTCAAAGGGCCCTCTCCCTGCTCCAGGTGCCCAGGCCTGTGGCCTGTATCGTCCTAAGGCACTGGTGTCGCAGGCCTGTACTGTAGGTGTGCACAGCTCATGCTCACGTCTTTTGGTACACACCTTACCTACCTGCCTGGAGCAGGGGCTTCAAAGGGCAGGGGCTGTGTCATCAGGTTAAGTCCCGCTGCCTAGCACTTAGCACACGGCAGGTAAGTGACTTTTATATAAAGTGAATGACTTCATAAAATCTGGGGACTCCGTCCTTCGGAGAATTTTCTCTATTTTATCTTACTCTGAAACATCCTTTGCAAGATGGTATTTGTTTTTAAAGGTGACAAAGAGATGAAAAACTGTAGGAAACCTGGGCTGCAGATATATGGTGGTTCACACTTAGATATTCAATACTTGAATATATGTATTTCATGCCCTTTTCTGTATGTATTAGTGTATTTCATAATAAAATTTAGAAAGTAACAAAAACACTGGAAGATAATTATAAATGTGAGAGGCTCAAATCTTGAGCTTCTGGAGACAACTGCCAGAGGCACTGTAGGGCCAGAGGAAGCTCCCTGCTCCGCAGCCCCCCGGGAGGCCGCCGAAGGCAAGCTGGTGCCCTGCCTTACCCCCGGTACCGCACGGCTGGGTACTCCTTCAGGGTGGCACACAGAGTCGCAATCTGCTCCGCCAGGCGCTCCAGGATAGGATTCTTCATCTGAGCCTTGTGGGGACTGTAGAAGCTTTGGAAAGAGTCAGCAGAATCCAAGGAATACACCTGAGAAGGGGGAAAATATATATAAATATAGATACAGGCCTGTTTGCATCCAGAATGGTGACTGGTCAGAGTTTTCTCCAACCTCAGTAGAGGCTACAGAATGCTTTTCATTCATTCCACAAATGTGGCTGGGCATCTGCTGGGTGCCAGGCACTGTGCTCAACACTTGGTGACCATTAGTGACCAAACTGTTACTGTCCTCAAGGAGTGTGCAATCTTATAGGAGAAGGCAGACAATGAACAATACATATAATGAAAAGTCAGTCCTATGGTATGTGAGAAACTGGCAAGTCTGAGAACATAATAAATAAGCAGGGACAGAATGCCCGCAGGCTGGGCAGGGAGGACAGCAGGCCCCCTTGAGGAGGGGACATTTGAGCAAGGGTTTGAAGGAGGTGCAGGGTTTCTCTCCAGCAGGGGACTCCCTGAGGAGAGATGGCTGTGCCAAGGCCCTGAGGCAGGCATGTGCCTGTGTCTGTGTCACTGGGCCTTAAAAGTTCAAGTAAATAAGGGACAAGCTAGAAACTGTGCTGTGACTATGGTAGATAAAGCAGCTTTTTATGGATTTAATAAATTCCTATCCTCAGTAGTATGTTGCAGGTATTTTTCTTTCTTCTTTTTTCTTTGAGGGTTCTAGAAGTTTAAAATTTCCTCTTAAACTACTTAGCCTGCCAGCTATCAGTACTCTCTTAGACTCTCACTTATGTAAACTACCCTGATCTGGCAAACCTGAGGGTTTGTTTTTTCTTTTAAGTTTATTACTTTTCAAAAATATAAGAAATATAATACGGTTGGATATGCTTAAGTTGGATTTTGTTCAGTCCAAGTGGTGACAGGCTCACACAGAGGAAAAAAAATCCCTGCCCTCGAGCTGGGAATAGGCTTTAGGCCAAGGGAGAAGGGAAAGAGGCTGTCTTTTCAAAATATTCACACTTTATTTTTTCCATCTCTTCTCCCCTCAGAACTGGTCACTGTCCAGCACTAGAAGCTGATGTGTAAAGACCCACATGCCACAGGCATCTCTTACCCCTACAAAATGCATTAAAGTTGTGTTATTTTTGTTTCTTTGCTAGAAAGAGGCATTTTAACAATCTTAAAATACTAAGGTACAAATTTTGTATATTCTCTCATGATCAGCCTCACTTTTTCTGGTTTACTGACTTTGTTTTTTTCCCAAGGGGAGAGGTTTTGGCACGTGAAGCGTTAACAGCTCATCATGACGAAGGCTACCATCTGTTCCTTCAGCACATGACAAGCTGAGGTTATCTCTACATAAAAACAGTCTCCTTTGCAGCAGATGGGTGTTGTCTGATCCCTTCCCCTCCCCTCCTGCCATGCTCTTTCTGGATTGGCTACTTTCTGGTTATTCAAGGACGCAGCCAATAGGAGTGAACACTGTGAGTGAGGTGAAATGAACAGCAAGAGGGCATAGTGGCTGGAAAAAGTCAGAAGGAACCGGAGAGTAAGATGAGGGCATCCTGGGTCGACTCATGAGGAACACTGTTTCCATTACATAAACATCCACTCAGCAACTCCCTCCCCAACTCTCTTTACAACACCCCACCCCTCCTGCTCAGACTGGGCCTGATAGAATAACCAGGATGCAGATTTTCTATGCCCCCTCAGGCAGCCTCACCTGGGATTCATATGGGAGGAATGCAATGTTGATTTCCGTCAGAGTTTTGATGACTTTGGCTGCTCGAGATTTTACCAGCTCGTTAAACAGGGCGTCTGGACAAGCTGCGAGAATGAAAAAGACAGTAGGTTTTCCTGTCCATTTGCTGGCTCATTTCAACAGTCACACATGTCTGGTGAATTCTTTATTTTATTAGGATTTTTAAAAGGCAAATAGAAAGTTCATTCCATCCTGAAACTTACTATCTCTAGGGTATAAAAGGAATATAAAACCATCTACGAGGCTCTCAATGTATAACAAAGGAACAAATGGCAGGAAAGACTGAGATATTGGAAGCTAATAAAAACTATTTTCTGATATTAAGGAGAGGAAGAAAAAGAGCCAGGAGCGACTGAAAGGAGATAAGGAAAAGGCCTGCAATATAAACAAACACCACACATCTGAGATACTTATGAAAAATAAAATAAGTAAAGAAAAATAAAATCCTTGGGAAATGTGATGCAGACATTTCCCCAGGCCCTCTAAGGAACTCAGCTGCACAGAAGACCCACTTGGTGGGAGAGCCACGATTTCTCATGACTCTCCTGGACCAACAAATAGCTTCAGATCCCTAGAAATGTGTTACTGGCTTCTTCTTACTAATGCTGTCTACCTGCTTTCTTTGCCACCCATCTTCAAAGAGTGTAAAGTTATTCTCTGCAAGAACCTTTCCCCATTTCTCCATGGTGAGTTCTGTGGGGCTTTCCCCAGAGAGAACACCGGGTGAACTGTTAGCTCTCCAGCCCTACTCATCTCTCTCTGCTTAATATTACAAAGATCGACCAAAATGCTTCTGCACTAGGCTCCATGCACAAAACGTCCACAAAGTAAGAAAACAGATTCTAGGACAGTGATATAGTTCTATCTGATACAAATATCATCAGAGTATGTAGTTGAAAAATGGGTGGAAACGCACTGCAGTTTATAGTGGTATCTGGAGGTCTGTACAGTGAAACGCTAAGCTAGCATGGGAAAATTATTCTCAGCATTAAACACACTGGCCCTGAGAAGAGGAGTTATTTTTCATCAGGAAGGATTGCCTGACCTAGTAGGTTTGTATTTGTGTGCGTTTATTTTTATCTCTTACGCAATTTGTCTTCTGAAGAGAAAATAAAAGATCATGACAAACATGGGAACAACCCATTTCTTCCCTGTTGACTTGGCTTGGTTGTGGGTCAGTCTGGTTGTGCAGGAGGGCTAACTGGGAAGGTCGGGGTGCAGCTGACAGCCATACTCACAGTCAGTGAAGAAAACATGTGCAGCCCGGTACTTGGCGGTCGGTGGGTCCTTAAAGTCACTGATGAGAGAGTGGACAGACTGTGGAGAGGGGAAAAAACAGGCAACTGAATTCAATTCTGGAAGCAAATGGAACCTAAATCTGAATGGCATCAAATCCATGCAGGCTTCAAGCTTCATGCACAACAGTAAGGGATTTCTGCTGTGTGTTTGGCCATAACTGAGTTCTGAGGACGTAACATTAGGATTATCTCAGAGTTTGGATGAACAAAACCCACCCAGCTCATCCCAGAATGACAGCACTGGTTCTTTGGAGTCACCAAAACTTGGGTTCCTAAGAAGAGACCCACAAAAATGGAAACTGGTCAGAAACATGCCAGGCGATTCATGGCGATGAAGTTCTGGCAACTTAAGTTGTATCTGCAGAAACTCACACATAAGCCAGTTCCCAAAAGTGAAAAGAAAACATGAAAACTGGGGGGAACTTGCATAGATTAAGAGACTTAAGACAACCAGCAATCAAAAGCAAGGCGGTGGGCTTTGTTTGGATGCTGACTTGAACCAACCCCCCAAAATGATAAGACAGGTAAATTTGAATACTAACTGGATATTGATGAAATAAATCTGAAAGCATAAATGCCCAAGCTCTCCAGGTGGATCACTAGATAAAATGACCTCTACTAGAGATGGGGTGCCGGGGGGAAACGGGAAAGCTGGTCTGGCTTTCCGGGCAGTGGCCATACTGCAGACAGCGTAATGCCCTCTTCACCCTCCACTTCCCCATTTGTGGGGTGCATGCTTAAGCAGAGCAGTGTGTTAAATGCGTGCTTAGCCTAGAAAGGTCAGACGCTGTGCCACACAGACCCCAAGCCAGCACGTGTAACCTCGGCCAGAGCTCTTTCTGGGGAGGGTTTACCTTCTCAGAAGGAGTGATGAGATACACGGCCTCCAGGCTGGGCAGCGGCTCTCTGCGTTTGTTGATGTCTTCCACAACTAGACAACAGAACAGCAGCCCACAGTGAATGAGAAAGCACAACTGGAGATCATGAAACTAGAAGCCACAGGGCGAGGCCACCTTCAGACTGGCGCAACAAAAATCTACGGTGGGGGAGAAAAAAGACTCATTCTCCCCATCCCTAGTCCCTAGAGCTGCCACATTCCACTGTCTCAGGATGCTCAAGACTTAAAAAACCTGAAATCTTATCACCTAAATACTTCCCACCTCTCATTTCAGTTTAATTCCTTGATCTGCCCTGACTGAAAATGGGAAATGCTACCTCATTCTATCAAGAACACTCAATTGCCTTTTCTTTCAGTCTTTTTCTCATCTGTCTGAGATAATCACAATTCCTTTAGAATTTCCACGTTGGGCTTGTTTTTCAACAATTGGATGGCTTTTATCATTGTCCTCTGCACATCACATGAAGATATATTCTCTGTATTAGAGTGTTTCTCTCAATAGTTCAAAGACTAAGCATCAGATTTTGTTAAAGCAAACCGCAGGTTGTTTGGTTTGCTTGTTTCTTTTGCAGGACATCAGCTGCTTCGTCTGGAAAGAAGCCCTCTGGGAAAATCATCACCTCACTTGTCACCTGATAAAGCCTAGGACGCATCACCACACAGCACTGTCCTCTGGCACTGGAGAGAGCAGGACAATCATGCGGTGCCGTTCTTCCTGTGCAGGTGATGTAAGCAAGTGAAGGCATCACTTTAGAAATATGCCTTGTAACATTTATAATGACTTTTCATCCTGAATAATGTTCAAATTAATATCAATCACCTACTTTACCAGTGGTTGCAGATTTTTTAATTTCATGGGCCAATAATTTTTTCAGGGGGGCAACACAGGCTTCCTAATTTCAAATTTTGCCAAGTAAGGACATTAAAAAAAAACTTCTAGGATGGGGAAGAGACTGTGTGCAGGAGGGGAGAACTGAACCCTTATCTACCACAGGAAGTCAATAGAGAACATCTAATATCCGCGAATCGAGAGATAATCGAGAGATAATCGTCTAAGCACTTATTTAGAAATATCAAAAAAGTAACCAGGAGGACAAGCAGAGCGGCCGCCTCTGGGGTGATGGACCCTGGGGGAGGTGGGAGGAGGAGGAGGAGGGAGGGCAGGACAGCGCTGCTGCTTTGTTAGATGCTTATTAGCTGCATTTATGGCTTTTTCTCAGTTACACTTGTGATAGAGGGAAAAAAAGTTTAAAAAAATTCAATGAGGAAAGTAACTTTGTGAGCTCAAATCAGGGGCAAGTCTGGTCTTGGATCACTGAAGGACCAAAAGTTACACCAAAAATTACGTACTCCCTTTCCAGTTTCTGGTAAGAGACAAACTAGATTTGGAAATGTGTTTTTTATAAATGAAGGCATCACATCCAAGGTGTGATTGTACTCCCCAAATTAATTTACCTGTTTATATATATTTCACATAGAATTTAATCAACAAGAAAATCCACATTATATTATCACCATACTTTCACAATTTTAAAACATTTTAACACCAAATAATAGGAAAAATATAATCTTAGAATACAGGACAAACTTTCAAATTAAATTCATTTAGCTTTATGAAAATCTCAACCCTCCCTACTCTTCCTCCTGTAATTGTGGTAAAGCAGTAATTTTGACAAAGACCAGCAGTAGTCTGTGGGCCACATACCATATAAAGTCGTCTCCAGGGGAAAAATTGGGAGCTGCATTGCAATAGATATGCTCCTCCCAATGTTTTTTAGGAGGAAAAGCAAAGGTTAACTTCCTTGTTTGAAATACTACCTCAAAATAGACTGCTTTTCAAGCAATGCTGTTTTACAGGTCAAAATACATGATCCCTCTTGATAGGGGCCCCTAAGTTAGATTTGAACTGCACACAAATGTGAAAAAGAGCTTGGGACAGGAGCCAGGAGGTCTGCGTCCTAGTCTCAGATGTGACACTGGCTAGTGACCTTGGGCAGGTGATTTAACTTGTTTTAAAAACCTATTATTGTGAAATTACAACACATATTCCAAAGACTGAATAAAACATAAACATACAAACAATTATAAAGCAAATGTCTGCATAAGCAGCACCCCATCAGGAAACAGAACCCATCAGCACCGCAGAAGTGCTCTCCCCCACCCTCATTCCCCTCCCTCATCACCATTCCCTCTCTTCCCTCCAAAGAGAACTACCATCACCACAAGAACCGTAATCACTTCTCTTTATGGTTGTTTAAGACTCACTTGTCCCTGCATTTCAAAACAGTGTATCTTAGCTCTGCCTGTTTTTGAACATTACATAAATTAAAGCAGACTCATAAGTACTCTTTCATATCTTGCTTTTCTTATCCAACACTATGTTTATTGTATTCATTCACACTTCAGAATGAGCAAGTAGTTGGAGTTTGTTCCTTTTCTTTGCTATATAATATTCTGCTGTGTGACTGTACCACAGTTCATTTAGCATTCTACTCCTGATGGACGTTTTGGAAATTCCCACTCTGGGGCTACTGTGAGCAATGCTCTGAGAGCATCCCTGCATGTGCATCCTGGACATGCATGCCTGAGCTGTCTAGGACACACATCTAACTGTGGACTTGCTGGCTTACAGGACAAACATACCCTCAACTCTCCTAGGCACCACCAAGTGTTTTGGAAGGTAGCTGAACCAACTGACACTCAGAGTTCCCATTTTTCTATATCCTCGCTGTCACTTGGCGTTATCATAGTTTAAATACTCCAATCTGAGTGCATAGTAGTATCTCACTCTGGTTTTATTTGCATTCCCTGACCACTAATAAGGGTGCGCAATTTTTCATGTTATTTATTGGCCATTTGGATTTCTTTCTTTGTTAAGTGCCTATTTAGGTCTTTTTCCCATTTTTCCTTTTGGGTGGGCTGCCTGCTTCCCCCCTACCCCCGGTTGATTTAGCCTTCCTCTTGGCCTCATTTCCCAGATATTTAATGGGCATCTAACACTGGATTAGGTGCCGGGGATTCAGCGATGAACAAGAAAGCCTGGGGTCTCTCTCAGGAACTTACAGTACTACCACCCAGGTTGTTGGAAGATCTACAGTCAAGTGGGATAACAACGACTAGGGAGGAGAAAGAACACCCCAGAGAAGGCTGAGTGCTGCCGGAGGGCAGAGGGGAGGCCGCGCTCACTTGTTATCCCCTCCGTCATGATGTCCGTCATCTTGCAGCAGGAGGAGAGCATCCTCATGCTCAGCTGGTCCACCACCAGCACCTGGAAGCAAAGGGCACAGCTCACAGCCTGTCCGGCATCTGCTATGACCTTCTCCCCCGCTGACTGCATCAGACTTCAAAAAGAGCCCAGAAATGCAGAGTACTGAGTTACCGATGTTTCCTTCGGACCAGACGTGGAGAGAGGAAGCTAAAACAAGGCTACTTCTCTCCTTCTTCAATGATATAAACCCAGGCAACAGGAGAGAGAAAAATGTGGGTCCGCAAGCTTTCTGCTGCAGTTACAAGGGCCAATCAGTTTTCATTTCATGAGGCGGCTTCCTCAAGGTTAGTTTAAAAAATAAAACAGGTGGCATAGCAGATCAGGAGCTCTTTGTACCCTCCTAAACACACCAAATGTTCTCATTCCATGCCTAGCAGCTCTCCCCAGCGCTACCCGAGTCACCCCGTCCCCATGTACTCACCTTTAAGGTCATTAATTGTGCTCGTCAACTTACCTTCCACTCTCCCTTCTTCTTTACCTTCTTTATCACATCATGCATGATCTCTACAGAAGGGGAGGAAAAGGAAGGAAGGAAGGAGGGAGGGAAGGAGGGAGGGAGGGAGGGAGGAAAAAAAATTTTTTAATTTAATCCCAAGGACTTCCAACCCCTGCCTATTAGGCTAGGTCACTTGCCCTCTCTAGGCTTTGTTCTCCTGAGTCATGCAATTCAGCCAATCTGTCTATTGAGCCAAAGTCGATCCACCATAAAGACAATTCTCTTCTTGTTTCCTTAATTCAGTGGTTCTCAGATTTTTGGTCTCAGGACTCCTTTATATTCTTAAAAATTGAGGACCTCAAAGAGTGTGTATGTAGGTAAATATCTACTGACATTTACTGTATTACAGTAAAATTGAGAAATTTAAAACATATGTATTAATTCATTAAAAATAATAATAAACCCATTCTTCGGCATCCTACTTGCATTTCATAAAATGCTACTTATATTTTCCACAATAAAACAATGTTAGTGAGAATACTGGTGTTGTTCTACATTTTTTCAACTCTCCTTAATGTCTGGCTTCATAGCAGGCAGCTGGGTTCTCCTAGCTGCTTCTGCAATCTGGCGTGGACCACAGCATATGGAAAACTCCACTGTGCGTTTGTGACAGAATAAGAGTGAAAATGCAGATAACATCTTAGCCTCATTATGAAGACATTTTCAACCTCAAATTCCCAAAAGGATCTGGGGTTTGAGAACCACTGCCTTAAGATAAGTGAGTAAAATGCTATGAGAATACCCCAGGCCACATGAGCCCCCCTCAAGATCCAACAACAGATGTGAAGAACAGCTGTGATATCTTTCCAACCCTGAGCACATCTGTAGGATGCTTGCACCCCCAAATCAACATTTTTTGTAAGCCACAGCTTCTATAATGCCACACCACACACAAGTCTACCCGGCCACAGGGGATTCACAGGAAACAGCATTCTTGCTGCTCTTTCTAAACCCAGATCATCCACAGGCCTGGAAGGACCTGAAGGCTAAGAGTTGTTATTAGTAAGTGTGCTTCAAACGTTTAGGTCATTCTCTGGAGCCCAATTGTCCTCAACTCTGCTTTTGACTCCCCAGTAATCTAATGTGTCATAAAAGTGTTTTAATATTTTTAAGAACTTTTTACCTGATTATTAAAAAAAAAACACAATCATTGCAGTAAACTTGGAAAACACAGAAAAGTATAAAGAAGAAAATACCATGTATTATCACTTGTATACTTCCAAAGAATAAAAAAATCATTTGTAATCTTGCCATCCTGAAACACATAATTAACATTTTTGCTTATTTCCAACTCGTTTTTCCCATGAACTATTACAGTTAAGATCATGCTGTATATATAATTTTGTATTCTGTATTTTTCAGTAAGAAAACTCATTTCTAGCGGGGAGGGAAGTAGCTCAGTGGTAGACCACATGCTCAACATGCACAAGGGGTTTTGGGTTCAATCCCCATTACCTCCCCTAAAAAGCAAACAACAAAAACTCATTTCTCCATGTTAATAAAAACGCTTCTCAGGATTTTAAATGCCTGCATAATAGTTACTCATTTAGTCAACAGTTTTCCCAGTAACCTTTTAGATTACTGCCCATGTTTCAGTGTGTGAACAACTAGGAATAAATGTATCCAATAATAAGGCAGAGGTTAAGCCAATCAGGTTACATTTGTGCAACGGATACTATGTACCCACTTGAAATAATGATACCGGAAAATACCTACTCACTCGTCCCCTCTGTCATTCCCTGGACCCAGCACCAGGGATGAAGGGCAGCGGTGCTGCTCCTTCTGAGCTGACGCTCCAGGGAAGGAAGCAGACAAAACACAAAGGGCGGTCAGGCCCCACACAAGGGCTTGGAGGTAAATAAACAACCTTTGCTGAGGCAGAAACCAAAAAAACCAGGTGTGGAGAGCTACCTTTAAGAGGGGATCAAGCAAGGCCTCTCTGAGGAAGAGGGAAGGCCACAAAGGAAAAGGAGTTTGACCACTTCTTGGAACTGAAGACGGCAGAGGCTGAGGTTGGAGGCCAGATCACAGGAGTATGTTTTATCTGAAGGGCACTGGAAAGCCACCGAGGGTGGGGATGTCATCTGATGTGCTGGACAGACAAGGCTGGAGCGGAGCAGGAACTGAAGCAGGGAGTAGAGTCAGGAGGCCCAGCCACGCCTGATGGCAGTGGAGGTGGTGAGAAGTGGGTGAATGTGGCATCTATTTTGGAGGCAAAAGCAACAGGGCTAGGTGCTGAATTGGGTGTGGGGGGAAAGTAAAAGAAGGAAACATAGATGACGTCTAGGTGCTTGGTTTAAATAAAGAAATTGATGTAGAGACAGGAAAGATTTACAGGGAGGAGAACTGATTTGTAGGAGAATACCAAGAATCCTTTTGGTTAAAGATTGAGACGGCTAAGAGACACCTGAGGGGAGATACAGTCTGGGTAGTGGGAGCTTGAAAGACTGCTCTGAAGCTACAGTTAAAAATTTGGGCATTATAACCACATAGAGGTAGGAGGTAAGGTTGGAGAAAATCCTTAATGCTTGTAAGACCAGTAAGATGGGATGGAAACATGACTTCTATTGACCTTGGCAAACATTCCTGTGAAACAGTAAGGATGAAGCCAGTTTAAAATGAGTGCTGAGGAAGAAAAGACAGACTAGACAAATCTTCAAGAGGTTTTGCTATAAAAGGTAGCAGAGAAAAAGTATGAAAGCTAGACAGGGTAGACAGAGAATGTGAAATCAAGGAACTTTTTTTTTTTTAAGTGTGAGATATTAGGGTATTTTTTTTAATGGTATTGGCAATAAACCAAAAGACAGGAGACTGATGACGTAGGAGGTGGATGGATAAAAGACTGCGGTCCCCGAGGAGGAGGAAGGGGCTAGAATGATCTGAGACACAGGAGGAATCTGACCAGGGGCAAGGAGGCAGGCATCACGTTGCATCCGGTGGGGAAGAGACAGGAGACGACTGGTGGGCTTGAAGAGACTGGGCAGAGGTGAGGGCCTTCCTTGCTGGACATGAGGTCACTGGCTCAGAGTGGGAAGAGTGGTGTTATTTATGGAAGGTTTGAAGAAAGATGGTACCATCTACCTTCCCAAAGACTGGGAAAGTGGATTTCCTACAGAGATGTTTTAGCATTTCTCAACAGGATGAAGGGCTAATTTGAGGTTCGTGA